GGGGGTGTTAAGATTTGCTGAGAGGCAGTTTTGTGGCAGGTGAAACCTGTAACCTCTTCAATACATGACAAAATAAACAGATCAAAAGATCTTGAGTTGATTCCAAATAGCTGTCTGAGAAAGCAAAAGATGCTGACATGTTAACCTGCAAGAGATCCATCATTTGTCATCACAGCCTTTATTCACTGCGACTCAGTAATAGCCAGGATTTAGAAATGGCTTCCAGTATTGGCTTCTGAGAATAAAGAGCATCATTTCTGTGAAAACATGTCTAACAGCAACAATATCAGAAGGAGACAAAGGGGGCGGTAATCTCGCAGTCATAACTAGTCTTACTTTCTTCTGGGTTATGTAAAAACAAGACAAAAACGGGGAGTGGAGTATCTGCAAAGTCACTGTGAATATGCGTTACACAAACGTCTATCCTGGCGGTTTTAAAGGTAAAATTAGCCCAGCTAGTCAACTATTAACACAAGTCCAATTTATCATATAAATAGTGACTTTTATGTGCCTGAATCAGGCGGGTACCGCCTCTCACAGTGGATGCTCCGAAGATAGGAGACAGTTGATGCGGTTTGTCTTTACTGCAATTTAATAAGAGATACGATGAGAAATGCTTTTAAGAAAGTAGGCTACTGAGCAGCTTCACTTACCAATGGTTTTTTTTTTTATAAATCAAATGTGAAATAAATAAATAAAAATACTTTTTAAAGTCTTGTGTTCAAATAGATTACTCAAGGAATTCCTTCAAGATTGTTATCTTAGCCAGTACAAACACACTTCATTTCCAAGTTTAGGAGGTTCACGAGACACGTTTTCCCCACATGTGTTACACAACATTGAGTTTTGCAAACATTTTGTACTGCAGCAAATGACCTAAAATGTATTTTTAAAAAAGGGGGTATAAAAATTACACCGACAAAAACCAACATAGTAATGATAATAAGCTACATTCGAGTGAAAGAATTAAGCATCTACACCCTTACCACCTCCACAAGAATTAAGATATATGTAGGTAAGTAGCAGCCAGTGCTGCTAATCAAAAGCAATCGATTCACTGATCATCAACAACTGTGACCACGAGGAATTGTTGCTGCAAATTCACCTCAAGATTAAACCGTACAAGGCTCAGGCAACTGTCAATAATTCAAGAGCAACATCTCAGAGTCTAAGTTAACACAAAATATAAAGTTCGTGACAGTACAGTTAGGAAAAAAAACGAATAAGCATTGTTTGTTAGAACTGGTTATGACTGGTTTCCAGGAAAACGCCTCTTATCTCCAAGAATAACATGGCAGACTGATTGGACACGCCCACAAGTGTATAAATGAAAAGTTGAGCAGGGCTGTTCACTGACACCACTCTGAGCTCGGTCCGTTTCAAGCCCTTTGATTCACACATTACTTCAAGTGCCAACATGTCCGCTGAAAAGTGTCTCGCTAAAGGTAAGACTCTAAAATATTACTCGAGGAACTGAAGGCTGCTTATAAAGCTCAAATGCAAAAAGCTGTTTCCTTCTGCTCGCATGATGAAGAGTTATTATACCGAGAGCAACATTTTTACAAAGTCATTCTTTAGACCTAAGTAACCCATTCCTTCCGATTTTAAAGCAGGTAACTGCAAATGGTCCTTGTAATTATTTCTTCATTAACATCTAAATACTAAACTCTATGAACGTTATTAAACATTGACTTATGTGGCTTCTCTGAAAACAAACAGACGTCAGAAAAAAAATATTCGCACTAAAGTACAGGCATAAATAAAACTGCAACATTCACTGTATTCAAACAAAGATATTTGTGATGCTGGTTTAAGATTGGTTCCATAAAGTTTAGGATGTTAAGTAAAGTGTAAATAAGACAAACACAATCAAACCCTTGAATTGACAATACAACAACCTGATCCAAACTTGCAAGTATAAAATTACTTTAAATTCACTGTGCTTTACAGTAATAGCAGAGTATTTTCTGCCACGGTTGTTCTACTTGAAGGTTAATTGGTAAAAGTTTTTACACAATCCGCTACCGACCTGTGATTTATGTCAATTCTGCAAGTAATTTTAATGCATTGCTTTTCTGGTGGATTATTACAACCATATATGACTTTAATTTTCAATGTGAAGCACAATGCATACATTTAAATACTGCCACCTGCTCTCCTTGTTACTTTTTTTAATGGATGAATCTTTTTCGTGTCTCTCAGGTAGCGCTGCCCCTGGCCCAGTCCCTAAAGACTACATCAGGGTTTACAGCATGAGGTTCTGCCCTTTTGCCCAGAGGGCCAGACTTGTGCTCAAAGCCAAAGGAATCAAGTAAGGCTACTCTTTATTCTAGTTTACTGTACAGATGAAAAATCATGATAGTACTTCAATCTATCAGATGTCTACTTCAACATGCACACATAACCTTCTGTTTTTTGTTGTTGTTGTTTGTTTGTTTCAGGTACGAAACTATAAACATCCACCTGAAAGAAAAACCAGAGTGGTACCTTAAAAAGAATCCATTAGGTCTTGTCCCAACACTGGAGACACCTGCTGGTGAGGTGATATACGAGTCACCCATCACCTGTGAATACCTGGATGAAGTTTACCCTGAAAAGAAGCTGTTTCCTTCCTCTCCCTTTGCTAAGGCTCAGCAAAAAATGATGCTGGAGAACTTTTCCAAAGTAGGTCACACAAAGACTTGCATATAAATCTTGAGCTTTGGGGGGGTTTATCAACCATCATCAAATAATAATATTGACATCTCCATCTATGCTACGTCCAGATGAACAGCATCAACTTTTGGAGATTTACTTACCTGAATGATTGAGCATGCATCAAGGAATATTAAAATTGCTGTTTTCTACAGGTGATACCGTACTTCTACAAGATCCCAACAGGTAGAAAGAATGGAGAGGATGTCTCTGGACTGGAAGCTGATCTGAAAGAAAAGTTTGCCAAGTTAAATGAGGTAGGCCACACCTTTGAGTATTCAGTATTAGGATGATTATCTTTCATTACTGTGCCTGGTTATTTCAGAGTGTTAAATACAACTCTAATGAATATAACATTTCATTTTTAGTGTCTTGTTAACAAGAAGACCAAGTTCTTTGGTGGTGATTCTATAACAATGATCGACTACATGATGTGGCCGTGGTTTGAGAGGGCGGAGGCGTATCAGTTCAAACCGTAAGTTAGAATAAATAATAGCTTTTCCAAATGTTGCTGTTTCTTACAGAGAAACAGTGAAAGTTTAACTCTTTTGTGTGGACCTTAACTCAACTAGAGATGTGCCAGTAACCAATCTAGATCAGGATTTAACTATTTTCACCTCAGAAAACTGGTGCTTGTGGCAAAAAATAACTGCAATGTTGGGATCACTGTACTTACTGGCTTTAGCAGATGCAAGACACAGCAATTCACAGAAGCAGCCTGAAGAGTCTGTCTGCTGCTTTCTACATAATCTACATAAACGTTTGCTACATAAATTATATTTGGTTCTCAAGACTATGGAAATGTTGACTGATTTTCAAGGCAAAAAGGCAGAGCTGGTTCTTCAGTAGTGGAAAACAGATGTGTTTTTACAGCCTCAGAAAGATTTTTCAGATTCCCAGTTTGGCTATTTTTACTTAAATCAAAATAAAAAGTAATTTAAGGTCTAATGTATGAAGAAAATTCTAAGACTTTTAAGACTTCATTAACGTAAAGTAACAGTTTAACATCAAAATCACGTTTTCCTCCCTTGTAACACTGACTATCTGTATATATCTATATCTATTACCTGTGTGCTGAAGTATTTACATTTCACTCCGTTACTGAAACTATTGCAAACAAATGGGTGTTCAAATTTACTTGTATTTAAATGGCTCTACCCTTTGTCTTATTAGGTTTTTGGATGGCACACCTGAGCTGAAGAAGTGGACAGAACTCATGTTGCAGGACTCGGCTGTCAAAGCCCTCATGTTCAGCCCAGACGCCCACAAGGCCTTCTTCAAGACCTTCCTTGATGGAAACCCAGACTTTGACTACGGCCTGTAGGAAGTTATTGATGAGAGTATCAAACAAAACCTTCAGCCTTCCTTTAATGTTACTGTGTTACTTTTATGTTATTGTGAAGAGCGATAGTGACTGAGTTTTCAATAAATTTGTTCATGAAATAACTGTCTTCATTCTGATTTTTCTAGTTGTGCTTTAAGACACATAAAAACAACACAGTTTCCCATTCATGGTCCCATTTAATAACCTAGATCTCCCTGTCCAAAACTTTGACATCAACACATTAAAAAACATCACAAGCAAAATGATGAAAGCAAGCTCAAACAAGCAGTCAAAGATACATACAGTAATACAATCTTTAATAGGTGCCATCAGATCTGCAACAGAAACAATGATACAAACACAGTTATACAAAGCAGACAGTGCACTGTCTTCTTAAAGATTCCTGTGTGGCTCTGTATAATATAAGAGGTTTTTATGTTAACATTTCTTGCTAAAATGTATCATCCTACATGCAGATTACTTGTTTCTGCTTCTTTGAGGAGCTGAGGGACACCTGTGTCAAAGTGTCTCTATTACTGTCATGTCCACTGAGATGTTGAGGATTTTCCCTCAGTGCCTGATCAGCTGTATTCTCCAGAAAATGATAAAAGAAAGCAGCTACAAAAAAACAATTACAAGTTTACATATCAGCCACAGCTGAAATAACTATTGTACATGGGAGATCTATGGGAGATTACTGTACTCTACTTGATAACATTGTGACCACTAGGTGGAGCAGGGTTGCTACTAAGCAGACTGAGGCTGTGTCCCAATTCAGGGTCTGCACGCTTGAAGTACGCGTACTACGTACGGTGCGTACTATAAGTACGAGAAGTGCGGACGTGAGAGGCTCGTGAAATGGGACAGTATACGCTTCGTCGCGCTGTTCAGGTTGCCTAGCAACCATGATACTAACCGCGAGACACGTTACATACAGCATTGTTTGACAGAAATGAAGGAGAAAAATGTTTT